TTGCTAGCCGAGCTGCTCAAACGAGTAATGCGTCAGTTCTGAATCGTGTTAGCTGCTTGCTTGGATGCTGGTGTCGGTAGTGTCCTATGGCTCGTTTTGCGGCAGTTGCGATGTGACATGATGACTCTATGACTCTATGGCGCTCCGACACTTTAAGCTGCTGAGACACCCTTCTCAACCACCTTCGGGGTGAACCGGTGGTTGAGAGGGCCGATTCCACAGCCGGTGATGCATCGCCAGGGGCTGACACTATGAACTGGTTTCGGCAGTCCCGTGCCACCTGCATGTCCGACGTCACAGGGAACCATCATGAAGCTTTCTTCAGTCTTCACACACGAGGTCTTCGCACGTAAGATGTGCGCAGTGCTCACTGGCATATGTCTATAGCCCCCCCACCATCATGAGCTGCAGGGTCGAGATCGAGAAGCGAGCCGCAGATGAGCGGGACCGTCGCAGGCAACCTGGTGGCGCATCCGAAGAGGGTGTCTTCCAGTTGCAAGCAAACATGTCGCGCTTGCATGAGGATTAAGATGTTATATAGGGGAAACTGTTCCGCCGCAGTCATTACGATTCTAGCCAAAAACTTGGCAAAGTCAAATATGAATGTAGACCCTGAGAGAGTGGCTGTCCAGACTGGAGAGCTCTGCAGACGCAGGAATGTAAGGGTCTGACGAACGGCGATCGCGAGCAGGTTGAGGGCTGCACAAGCTCCGGCAGAGCTCCTCGCAGCAATCAAGGCGAGGCGAACCGAGGCTTTGTAAGTGCAGCGTCAATGCTACGCCAGGCCTTGGACGAGGACGCTGTGCGGGCGCTGCTCATCGAAGCCTCCGCCTCTAACTTTCCGCCGCGATAGCAGAATGCCGCAGCATGAGCATGTTGTCGGTGAGTATCGCACTGCTGGGTAAAAACTCAGCGTGGCTTGGCTGTTCCCAGACTCCTGAAAGGCTGTGCTTACTCCGCCCGATGCCTCTATTGCAGAAGGTTTCCTAGCTGAGCCCGGAACTAAATCGAAGAGCGGTTGCAGCAGCCACTGAGCACGCTTTGTGCGTTGCCAGGTCTGAGGAAAGAAGGACCCGAGCCGAGCGCGACGGAGCCTTGCTTGAGCTGGAGCCCCGGAGACGGGAGAAAAGGCATGTGCACGGTGCAATACGGTGCAGTCTCGTCAGATTCGGCTTCCCCGACCTCGACCGACGAGTCTCCTCCTGAGCTTCTGATCACGGATGAGTTGCCGAAAGAACGAGCTCTGCAGAGGCGTTCTTCCAGGCTTCGGTCGCCGTGGCATCCTTTCTCACGGATCAGTGCCCTCGAGTTTGGCATTCCCCGAGTCTGAGTATTCGCAGTCCATCGTGCCATGCCGGAAGCTTTTCGGCTCGTTCATTTGATACGAACCAGTACAGTAAGCAGCATTGAAGTGTGTCGAAGCCCGTCGAAGCCTCGGAGCGTGAAGGAGATGTCGGATCCCTGAGCTAACAGGAAGCCACTCAGCTAGCTGACAGCTTAAGCTCTGACCAGTGCTGGCCATGATTGTGCTGGGTTTGTTGTGGGCTCCACTCTTGGTTGGGACGACGGCCAGTGATGGTGCATGCGACCTGTCGCCCTGGCTACAGGAAGAGCCGGTCGACAAGGGATACCATGTCATATGTGTTGGGGACGGCGAGGGTACCCTCTATCTTAATGCATCAGCGGCCTCTCGGAGTGTGCTGAAATTTGACGATAGCCTGCCGGAGTTCTTGGAAGAGTTGCTGCAGATCAAAACGCACTTGGGCTTCAAACCTCACTCGAAGAGGTCTTCGGCGGTGCAATGGAGGAAGCAAAGCTGGGCCTTTTTTACCGTGGCCGGAGAGCGCTGGACCCCAGAGGAGGCCTCTTCAAAGATATGCGAAAAAGATTACCGGGGCCAAGCACTGCTTGTCTTCGAAGGCGGGACATGGCGATGGCCCGGCATCCGTGTAGGTTATGAGCGACTTCTGCAGCCAGATTCAGGTGTGATCTTGAGAACGGTGGCTCTCAAGCCCGCTTTGTTCGAGCTAGTCCTGCAGGATGCATCCAAAGGAACAATCCCAGAGCTTCTTTCGGACGTCGTGCAGATGTCAGAAAAGCGGCTGCAGCGCTCCCTGACGGAAAAAGAAGCCTCAGAGGTTCGAACCAGCCAGCAGCACTGGCTCAGCTACAACTCGCACCCGAAGCTGAAACAACTTAAGAAGTTTACGTCAGAAGTCCTTCGTCTGCCTAGCTCTTACTTCGAAAGGGACTTACAGGTACTGCGCTACACTAAAGGGCAGCTTTATGATGCCCACCGGGACTACTGGGATCCTCGGGAGTTCCCAGACGAGGAGCGTTTTGTCCACCCTGTTTCCAAAACCTGGAACATGCGCTTCGCCACGTTGCTGTGGTATCTGCGTGATGCAGTGCATGGAGGCGAGACGTGGTTCCCCAGGGCGCATGGTGGGCCGATCCCTTACGGCGAGTGGACGGCCTGTGATGACCGGGGCGTCAAGATGTCTGGAAGGAACGGCACAGTTGCGATCCTGTTCTACTCCTTGTACTCTAGCGGGGACATCGACACATATAGCTGGCACTGTGGCTGTCCCGTGGGAGAAGGGACGAAATGGGCAGCAAACAGTTGGATCTGGAATCAGCCGCAGAGCCCACCCTATGCAAAGAGCAGGTCTGGACGCTCGGTCGTAGAATTCATCCGCGACGAGCTCTAAAAAGATGAAGACAAAGATGAACTGCGCTTGGGCAGTCTTGTGTAGGCCGATAGCTTCTTGCAGCAATTCATCCTGCCGTGGTCGTGTTTGTCTTTGTCGAATCCACCTTGATGGTTCGGTGTAGGCTGATATATGACAGTATGCTATATATATATATATAAATAAATAAATAATGTCCACGTGATGCCGGCAGCAGTTTCCCAGTTACCCCGTGCTTGACTCTACGCTATCTCTTGTTCTAGGATGCTTTCGTGATCTCGTAGCTACAGGTACCGGATGCACGAGGGCAGCGATTTCAAGCTGAAGGCGCCTCTGAGTTGCAGGAGCAGTGGCAACCCCCGGCCCGGCTCATATTGGCCTCATGGAAGCGTCATTGGGACAGGTCATCAAGGCGGCCAACTCCGTTTTGGTGACGTTTAGAAGCGCTGAATATGCGCAGGACGGATATACTTGGAGATGTGCGGCGGCGAATCGAGAATACTCACCTTTTGCCATGTCTGGAGAGTCTAGAGGCCGTGCGAGAGACGACTATTGACTTAGCCAAGCAGCCTCGACCTCGTCAGCGGGCGGAATTTTGTCGCAGAATCTATGTTAAAGTGTTAGTATGTGGCCTCAGGCTCGACGCCGGCAGCACCAGCGCAAGGGACTCGGTGCATTCGGCGACGGCAGCGCGGTCGGCCGATCGGCCGTGCGGCCAGGCCCAGGCGCTGCTGCGAGCAGAGCTCCGAAGCTCTCATGGCCCTGCCTTCAGCGCAGAAGCTGACGAGCTTCTCTCGAGCCTTCGGCAGGATGCCGAGGACCCGCGCAGATGTTTGGAAAGCTCGAAGCCCCGAATCAAAGACGCCTTGTCACACACACACACACCTCGCGTCTGAGGATATTATAGAGGTCTTGCGTAAAGAGCTTTCGTCTGTCGATCTCGGGCAGGCGCTGCGCGAGAAGCCTTTGCGGGCTGAGCCAAGCCAGCACGCTTTGTTCATCAGCGCAAAGCAGCGTCCCACAGTGCCAGGTGCGAGGAAGCAGTCCGGAGCGCCGCCGCTCGTGCTCGCGGCGAGCTGCCGAGCACGAGGCGCGGACTGAGAAACGATGCTCCTCACTGGGCTCCGTGCTTTGAAGCTTTGAGCAGACAGAGGACGGGGCCGAGCCCTCTTTCTCGGGCTTCGACGGAGGCTCCGGCTTGGCCCAAGGGGCCGCGTCCGCTGATTTGTGCTCAGAATGAGTGCTCAGGCTGCAGCGACAGGTGCAAAGGAGGGGTTGCAACGGATTCGCGCCAGATTCAGCAAGAGCCTCCAAGCACAAAGAGCACTGCCAAGTGACCTGCAATCCAGAACGCACTTGACAGGAGCAGCAGCAGCAGCAGCAGCAGCATCATGCTCCACCTGCTGCCCCAATGCTGGGGCCCGATGCTTCAGAGCAGCAAGTGCTTTAAAAAGATCCAGCGGAAGAACATGCCTCCACTTGTAGCATGATTCTTTTGGATCCATCCAGCACTGGAGGCCTGATCCACAGGGTCACATCTCAGGCCGGGCCGGATGCTGCTTCTCACCAGATCCGATCGCCTGATCCGCAGGCGGAAGTCTACCGAGTCGAACATCGACAGTGGGAGCCTGCAGCAAAGGACTGGAATTCACTGTCTTCCGTTTCAACAAGTTGATGCCAGCAGCCGGACAGGAAAAGGAGGTGGCAAAGTTTCACCAGGCCCGGCCGGCCATTAGCCTAATTTTGAAAGCCGTAGAGGGGGGTGTCGGAAGCTGTAAAGGTAATTTGTAGGGAGGGCAGATGAGCCTTCAACATGCGGGGCCTAGCCGAGCGGGGGTTGGCTCCAAACAAGTTGGGGTGACTGACAACATTTAACGACTGTTACTGCCAATCTCTCACTCGGTTACTGAATCATGGAAGCATAACATGTAATTATGTTAGGCACTTGAATCCGCGTGTTACAGAGGTGCCGGTGCTCCGAAGGACGATGTGCGCCACACAGATTGAAGGATGCTCAGGATTATGGGGTGCGAGATGCTCTCGGCTTTGAGGTGCTGGTGCTTCCGCGCGGCGCTGCCTTTGAGCTTCAACGAGACACAGCTGCTGACCCAGCCGATAGCTGCAAGTGCTCCCCGAACCTCCTGGATCAATGACTTGCGGTTTGCAGTGCAGGGAGACCCGCATGGCTTGAAGGCATGGAGGGTAGACGGCACAGACCCGAGGCGAGGGCAAAGACCTTCCGAGACGACCTCAGGTGCCCCGTTGCATGTGGATAAAGCTGCGGACTGCCATTCCAATTCCTGCGCAGGACCTTCGCGCGGAACTTCCGCATCCAAGCCGAGCTTGTTGGCTTGGACAAGGTCCAGATGAAGCCCCTTGGCAACCGCCTGAGAATGTCATGATCCGTGATGTGACGGCTTAGGCTTTGATGTTGAAAACACGCCCTGCCAGGCTTCGTCCACCAAGACACGAGAGAAAAGGCTCGAGCAGAGCAGCGAGCTGAGAGAGCACCGGCTTGGATCTAACTCGGCACGCGAACTTTTCCTTTTCTCCTCAGCCTCCGCCGGAGGCTCCAAAACCTTCTCAACTATCACTTCCCGCTGGGAGCTCAAGCTTCCAACTCTGCCTGGCTAAGCCTTGTTCTTCCTAGGTCCGTTTCCAGAGAGCTTCGGCCTGAGCGACGTTTGCTCGGAAGAGCCGAGCTGAGAACGTGAGAACGCTGAAGGCGGGAGGTGCGGCTTCGAGTCGCCGAGTCTCCGCCTCGGAGACGTCTTCCAGGGGACTTCTTTATATGCCCAAGAAACTTTCACCTTGGGCCTCCGTGGGTCATGACATGAAGCTTGAGTTTGAGGGTCTGAGAGCAGTGCAGACCCCTCGCATCCGCATTAATTGCGGCTCTTTGGGTGCAGAGGTCGGGAGCCGGCATCGACCTGACGCCCAGCGATCGCGGGTTTCAGGTCGACCACGTGGAGGAGTGCCGGGTTCGTGGTTCGTGCCAGCGCTGTTGCAAATCTGCTCCTGCAGGAATTCCCGGGACAGGACTTCTCGGCTGGGGAGGTGGGGAGCCCCTTTTCCAAGTGGGCTTGGCTTCGTCCCAGTGACCTGCTGCCGAGGTCATCCTGGCCATCAACGGCCACAAGCTCTCTGGTCTCTCTGAAGACGAAGTCGCCGCATCCTGAGAGGTTGTCAAACTACCATGTAGTGCTGCTTGGAGTCCCAGGAAGAGACTTTCGGAGCTCACTTTGGGGACGGTGCCAGCCCCCGGAAGCCCATGAACAGAGGTTATATCCGCGCATCCCCGTGGCACTTGAAGGTGCTGTCCTCATGATTGGAAGCGCCTGAGTTAACGGTACCATCCTTAACCGGGAGTCTGTCCTGACAATCGTGCCACATGATGCCACAGAACCGTGGTGGGAGGCTGCAGTACGAACGCTTCCTCACCTAGGCCGCAGACCGCAGGTGACATGACCGAACGATAGCTGACATGAGCAGTTTTGTGTGCCTAGACGGAGCTGCCATCTTCGGCTCGGCTTCTTGTGCCCGGCTGTGGTGTTGTCCTAGGCACACGATGTACATAGTCGCTTGACGTCAGGATCGAAGACTGTTTTTTTCAGTTTCACCTTGTCCGAAGAGCTTCGGAGCTCTGCTGACATTAAAACTGGGCTTGCTGCATGCTGTACATGCAATGCACCGTGCACCTTCACCACGTCCTCCTGCGCATGGATTACTTTTCTGTATTCACCATCCCTCAAGCATTCTGCTTTCACCAAGCCAGCCGCAAAAGTCTGATGAGCAATACAGACTGTTTAGTGATGCAGATGCAGACATGGTCATATATGATGCTCCCTAAGGCAGTCACAGTCACATTGGCCACGTACTGTGCGATCCAGCCGAGTCAGCTATCTTTCATTCCCCATCGGGACACATCAAGCTGCTTGGGCCTGCTGCGTCTCCGCGCGCACAAGGCGCTTCGTATGTGTCTCATGTCAGCCACAGCCTGCGGCCATGTGCCTTGCGGGAGACCTTGGTATGTGGAGGCCATGGAAGCACCGAGTGGATACCCGGATGTCCCACCTTCGCGTCCCTCTGCCGCCGCCGGCCGGGATCTTCAGAGATCCTGAGCCTCCTCACGCAGACATGCTTCGAGTCCGGCAGGCATGGCTGCTGCAGACCCTGTGGTTGGCTTAAAGTGTGGAGGATCCCGGTTGGAGAATGCCTGCCTGTACTGCTGAGGCATTGGGGATGGCCGCGATCATGGAAAATCAGGTGCTCGAAGCCTACAGTTGTTCCAGTCGACACCGATCCCGTTTGACATGAACAGGTGGAAGAAATGCGCAAGCTGCTCAGCAGATTCAAGGTGCCTTCGCCCAGGTTTCTTGAGAGATTATGAAGCAATGACATGCCAGGTATGTGCAAACCCGGCAGCTGCCGGCATCGGAGCAGATGTGGATGCAGGTTCCCGGCTTCACCGCGGAAGCGAAGTCTGTAGCGCTGCCATGCTACTATAGGGGAGCCGTGCTGAACATGAGGCGACGTTAGAGTTCAATTATGGTAAGCTGGCCGTTCAACTCTTTGCTTCACATGAAACTTGGGAGTCAGAAAGTTAAAGAGTGGGTCCATACCAGCTGAGCCGAATCTTTGACCGCCGCGTTCAATTGTCTTCAAGAAGCTAGAACAGTGCGAACCCTCGTTGCAGCCCGCCAGTGTTTTCCTTGCTCTGGTCTCAACGCAACTGTGCATGAAGACTACGGCCCCTGGCATCAGTAGCAGGGCAAGCGCAGAGATCTGAAGGTGCTTGCAAGGGCCCTTCAAACCGGAACAGAGCCGGGTACGAAAGATCGTTGTGACTCTGATGCCCGTCATCCTGCTTCAGGTGCCCTTCCAGGGCATGCAGACATCCTGATCTTTGGGCCCAGTGGAAGGTGGGACAGAACATCATTGCTACAATCTGCTTCTCATCTCTTTCTGTGCCAGTGGGAAGAGCAGCCTTATCCGCACCTTTTACATGGCGCTGCACAAGACGCAGCAGGCACCTCCAGACTTGGGGAATCGTCGCATGAGGCGGATTGACTGGCATTCAGGTTCCTGCAGACTTTGCGGACAGGCCTCCGCGCTGACCGTGCGGGCATTTCTGCATGTTCGCTCACTGCGGACTTCATGGACGTTGGCTGGCCTGTGTGTGACCAGGATTATTGTCAAGGACACAGCCATGAACGAAGGCACTCTCAAATACATTTCTGCCGCAGATGCCCCAGAGTGAACCCGAAAGCCAGGGAAAGCACCTCAAGTGGATGTGAGGTCATCAAGCCGGCGAAACTAGACCACCGAGGTAACATCCTCTCGCCGAGAGCTTGGAAGCATCGACAATGGCTCTGATATTTGTGCACCGCAAGCCACCTTTTCTTGCTTTGCTTTCCAGGTCCTCGATCTTGTGCCACGACACTCGAGGCCAGATTTGGATGGACGAACCTCGGCACAGAAGAGAGTAGGAAGTCACGGGAAAGGCATCAGTTGGACGTCCGTGCTGTTGTCTATAACTCCGGTTTCCGGCTGTAGTGAAAGCATGTTGGGTGTCGAAAGTGTCGAGGAACGAGAGCAGAAGCAGCTCAGCGTCATCATGGTGACGTCCCCATTCTATTTGCTGCACTGTGCGCGTCGCCGCTTCCTCTAACCCGCGCTTCTCTTCTGCAGGATGGGAACGTGAAGGACGACTCCATGGTGCAGCAACGAAACTACAGGCTTTGCGCAACCGCACCACGGAAGTGCCTCCGTCGCATTGCGCGACCGGCAGGTATGCGAGATTGCTCTGGGAGTTCTGGAAGAGAGACTCCGAGCTCTTCCCTCCCGAGGTGCTTCGAAGCTCTGTGCTAAAAATGCCCCAGTCGAGTCTGTGTCCTCGTGGAAGATTCTGGCCAACAAGCGGGGGGTCCACAACCAGCCCCACGCCGTCCCGGTCTCTTTGGATCCTCGACGCAGACGCCCGTCTGAAACCGCTTGTCTCTCCAGGTTCTCTTCGTCTTCGATGGGTCCATGGAGGAGATTCCCGATGGGGAAGAGGCCAGGAAGCCTGGCAGCATACACAAAGATCTGGAAGTGCCGTCTGTGTCCTTGCTGTCCAACAGGAGACAAAGTTCTACAGGGAGATCATCCAAATGTGCCGCGAGAAAGGCTACACCAACCCACAGGCCTCCAAGTATCAAAGATGGACACCCCTTGTCTTGCGATATGTGTCCAGCTGCTCATTTGCCTGATGGTTAGCAGATGCAGGGAAGAGAAAAATCGTCGATGCAGCATGCATGACACCGAAGAGCTTGACTCAATAGCAGACTGTTCTATCCATGAGCCGTTATAGGACCTGGCAGGCAGCATCCGGGGTTGAGTATGAGCCCACACGAGGCATAGCCATGGATGCATGGGATCCCCTCGCAGATCCGGCTGATGTTGACACACCGGGCAAGGCGGACCCGACAAAGGTCAGTGCTTCAGATGGCCTGGGCCTTATAGGTTCAGGATTTTGGATTCCCATGCCTTCTTGCGGCTTCTTTCGTTTAGGGGTAAAGCGGAGCGAACTCGGACGTTGTCACGGAAACTATAGGACGGACTATCGTGCTAGGGGGGCGCGGCACTGCTCCAGTGCTTCTCGGGTGGTTGGATGTGGCTGCCCCATCGCCGTCGTACTGGAAATTTCCAACATCGGAACTGGCCACCGTGCCTTCGAGATAACTTTTTTTGCGCACGTTCGTCCCGAAAAGTTCCCACCTTGTTGCCTCGTGGCGCTTCTGCCGCAGTCCCCTGCGTTGTCAGGAGTTTACGCCGGCACTGTCATAGTCATAGTGTTTTGAAGAGCAGGAGCTGTCTTGTTTCTGCGTTATCGACGTGCTGTCAGTCCGAGGTGACTGTAGTGCGGTAGATGATGCTTCGATGTTGGCTATTGCCGGTCCCTTGGGCCGTGAGGCTGGGGGTTTTCTGCTTCGGTATCCAGGCCGTCCAGGCTACCAGGCCGCTGTCGCCTCTGTCGCAGGCGGTGTTGTCCTCGACCCGCATGCGAGACGTCGAGGACTGGATTTCGCGGGCAGAGGCTCGAGACAGAAACACACTCAATTCATGTCAAGGCAATTCCTCGCCTCGCCGCTCCGCGCCTCCTCTTCTCGCCGATCTGTCTCTTCGCTCTGTGCAGGCCAGTGGCCTCGATGTAGAGCAGATCCTTCCGGCAAGGCTGGCCGGTCGCGCTCGCCCCACATGTGCCGAATTTTGCTTAAAGCCGCGTGCAGGCAACACCTGAGGTCCTTGGCCGTGGCCTGACTGCTGTGCCGGACCTGCCTGCAAAGCCTTTGCCGGCACGAGGCCAAGCAGAATCCGACGATCCACTGGGAAAAGCGAGAGAGCCAAGCAACGGCAGAGCTTGTGGATGGCACAAAGGCTCCCCCAGGCTCGCACTCTTTGTAAAGGAAAACTGAACTTGGAAAGCGAAGGCTGGCGAAGCCGAAGCGCGACTGCAAGCTGCCGAGCAGCAGGCAGGGATTGAAGTGTAAAGGAACCGATGCACATGCTGGGGTTGCCATATGTGCGATGTACAAGGCCTCGCATGCGAGGGCCAGTCGCGAAGCTGTCTTTTGCTTGCAAGATATAAAGGCTTGGACCTCCATGACCCCATCATGACCCATTCTACAGAAACGGGCTGGGCTGCCTGCTATGTGGGTTCAAGCACCCCAGCACGGCTGGAAGGTGAGGCTTGCTCGGCCCATCCTACATGTATCCGACATCCCGTAAGGTCGACCGTTTTTGCGGGCATTTGCAAAGGAGGGATTCTCTCCTGCAGCTACATCATTTGCGATGCAGTGATCGCCAAAGCTTCCGGAAGGTGAATCTGCTGCTCAGTGACAAGTCAAGCTCGTCTGCAGCAGGCTTGCTTGACTCTGCAAAGGTCTCCACTGAGCTTTGCTCTAGCCGCTACCGTTTGTTGCGCAGGGAACAAGGCCATGCAGGATGCCGCAGAGCAGCTCAAGGTGAGCTTTCTGCATATCGTCTGCGCCGTTTCTGTCCTGCCACAAAATGCGGAGTCGCAGGAAGCCATAGGAGAGGGCTACAGTGCCGGGGCGATGCTGCCATGGTTTGCGGGGGCAGGTTTCGAAGCTCGCACTGCTGCAATCATGCTGCCAGGGGAAGTTGCAGAGTTCATAGGCCTGCTTGGCTCAAGTCGCGGCTTGCAAGGGGAAGCCTCACCGGCCAAGCGTCCAAGATGGAGAGTGGACTGAGTGAATGCTTCAAGGGGGGCGGGGAAAGGCACTCGTGTCCCTCGGAAAGGCATTGAAGGAATGCAAAGAGGCAGCTCTGTGGCAACGCTCCCTTTTGCATCTTCAAGAATTCCGGAGGCTTCATGAACCGGATGCAGCAGCACTCGATGCAGCGACGATCGCTTGTAGCCGACGAAACCGATGGGATCTGGCTGTCTTCCTGTTGCGGCAGCGCTGGGAGATTGAGGGGCCGTCATGGAGGTCCGCTTTCAATCCCGGCTGCGGCGCAAGCATCAGTGCTTGCGCCCGTGCGGGACACTGGGACCTGGCATTGGCCTTGTTCGCGGAGGCCAGAGTCAGGCCAGGGGCACTCAGAGGGGCTAGAGCCAGAGGTCCACTTAGCCTTGTCAAGTCTTGTTCAAGTCTTGTCTGGAGGCGACAGCCCATCTCCGACTGGAGCTGCAGTGCCGCTATTAGCGCCTGCATGAAAATCGCCTCCTGGAGCAGGGCCTTGCTCATCCTTCAGGAGGTGCCAGAAGCCCACCGGGAAGGCCAGGCCCTACTCGTACACTTTAAGAGCTGCATGCAGCTGCCGTAGCTTCAGGCACCTTCAGACCCCTCCTTTCCAGACCCGTGGCGTATGCAAGGCTACAATGCAGCCGTTGCAGTCTGCGCCGAGGGTCGTCAGTGGCAGCGGGCCCTTCGCCTGTTGGAGGACATGAAGCGACTGCACTTAAGGCCTGATGTGTTCACTTACAGCTCCGCTGTAGCCGCTTGCCGGTTTTCTTGGGAGATGGCTGGCTTGATCTTGGACGGGATGGACATTGCCCCGAATATTTTGACGTATTGCTCAGTCATGAGCTCTTACGTGAGAGCTTGGCAGTGGCAGCGAGCCCTTAGTGTTTTTGCCAGGCTTGCACGCATTCATCGCCCGAATGCGGTTGCCTACACTTGTGCATTTCAGGCTCTAGACCTAGCTGGCCCGGAATGGAAAGACGGGGCTTGGCAACTGGTGGACAGCATGCAGCACGACTACATGCAGCCAGTCGATGTCGTGAGCTACAGTGCTGCACAGCAGGTCCTGAGCCACGCCGAGATTCCACTGGCCGAGCGCACTTTCCAGCGGGAGATCTTTGAACCCGCTGTGCTGGAGCTTGAGAAGCTAACAATCTTCGGCGTGTCGCCAAATCCTGGCGTCAAGCCACCGGACATGGGCTCCTTCTCCAGAGGAATGCTCGAGGCACTGCTGACGCAAGGAAGCCTTCTTAGAAGCGCCGGAAAAGCCACTGGAGGGAGTTAGTTGGTAGATCTGGTGGATGATGCACCACAGTGGCCTCAGCGATCCAAGCACACTTGTCAGGTGGACCTCAAGCAGCTCATCACATCGTGCGCAACTGAGACTCGAGGGCCTCCCCAGACAAAAGGGCCACTGTCTGCCTGGACCGGCCTTGAGGCGGCGACTTCTGAACCAGCTACAGCCGAAGGTCAAGCAGGTCGAGTCGCTGCCCCAGCGACGCCGAGGAGCGATGCTCTGCGCGATTCTCGCGACGCATCCGCGGGGCGGAGGCCGGAGACCAAGCAAGCTCTGGCCAAGGCCATGCTTCAAGCCATGAAGGACCAACCCCCCCTCCCCCCCTTCCTCGCGATGAGACTTGCATGCTTTTGCCTTTGTTCAGGAGAAGGACGCCGTGAAGCTCGGACGTGTTTTGGATGCTGCAGCAGAGGCAGAGGTGAAGCTCCCAGGCCTGGAGGCACGCAACGACGCAACGCCTCCAGGGCGTACGGTACTTACTTGTAGGATTTGCTGGCCTAGCGGCAGTCTCCATTTCTGGACCCATTGGATTTCCAGCGCACGCCTCGTAGGCGGCCCGAAAGAAGCTTGCAGAATGGAGGACAGCTTCACCAGAAGACTCGGAAGAGCGTTCTGGAAGGACACTCTGCGTCTCCTTGGGGCTTCTGTGGCCGTGCTCCTCCATTCGTGCCAGGACTGCAGAGGTGCGGTTGCGGATCATTCTGCCGGATGGAAGGTGGGGTGAGTCTGTGCTGTGAAGCGCAGAGGATCCCTAGCTCGTTCTCAGCTCTCAGGAGAGGATGGCTTCCTGTTGATCCTGAAGACCACGGCAGCAAAGTGCTGAGCAGCTTGCCGCAGGACGGCAAGATCTCGTTTTGTTGCCACTAGCTGTGAGTCCATGGAAGGAGGTAACGGCGAGCGGCGACATGCACTTCTTCCTTGGATTGGAGGCTCTTACTTGCAGTGTCTTGTAGTGCCAGCAATACGGAGCTTGCGGAAGGCGTCGCCGAAGGGTGCAGTGACTCTTCGCGAGGAGGTGGTCTTTTCCTTCGACAGGCCGCAGCCGCAGATCTCCGAGCATCCTGTTGGCACAAGTCCGGCGATGCAGGAAGGTCGGTGACCAGCCGGAGTTCCTTGCCCAGGCTTCGGTCGTGTTGCAAGGTGGGCAGCTGATCTTTGAGCCGTACCCTGGACGGGAAGGGAGCAGCGCTTTGTGTTTGTCCCGGTCGCCACAGGAGATCGCTCCTGTCTTGCACAGTGTGGATGTCGGTATTTTTCAAACGTGACGAAGTTGATTGGATGCGAGTTTCACGTATTCTTCAAATCTGACAAAGTTGCTTGGATCCAGGTTTCGTGTTCTTTTCAAATCCCTGCTCTGCCAGAGGAGCTCTTTCGAGTCTGAAGAGGCTCCCTGCCTGAAAAACTCGGCCCTCAGCAATGATGTCTTGCACGAGTGCTCCCTTTAGGACAGGCGATCCGATCCCACCAGCCCACTTTGGCAGAGCGTGTGGAGCTCAATCGTGGATTCAGCAATATATCGAATTCCTTCGGAATTCCATGACGTGCATTGGGCTGTAGACACTGCAGAGAGAGCGAGGGAGAGAGAGAGAGAGAGAGATGGCTCAAGTACTACACCTGTGCTTGGGGGCCTGTTCCGCCCTCTTGTACGGGGGGGAAGGCAGAGAGTTGACCCGGAGCTGTATACTCCGGGGGAGCTCTTCTGCTTTGCCCCAGTGGTGCTTGAGCTTCATATCCGCTACCGTGTTGCTTAAGCAGTTCCGGTCCCTTTCGAGCCCCTCCTGACCCTGAACGATCCGGAGGGTGGCCCTCTAGTAGGGCGACGGAGCATACAACCTGATTGCGGAACTCACAGTGATCTTCCACGACTACCTGGGGCAGACTGATGGCGAGTTCGAGCAGCCTCGGACGAGGCCATGGGGGGGGGCAACCAAGGGCTCCCAGCGCAAAACCTCCTAAGGCGAAAACGACCTGGGAGGAGCAGACCAAACTTGCAGACCGCCTCCGTGAGCTGGGGGTGAGTTGCAAAGCCTGTTTGCAAGGACCCTGGTACCATAAACCGCACGATGGGGGGAAGACCTGCTACAAAGCTATGATAGCAGCCGGCACAGCCAGCAGCCCGGCCAGTGTCAAAAGCATGCGAAAAGAGGGGGAGGCCACAGCTACCCGCGCTACTTCCGAGCAGTTGGGGGAGACAGGACAGACGGCGCACAAAAGCCGACCGCTCGCCAACTATGTGCGCTTTGAGACAAAGGAGGGGGTGGCGCTTCTGTGCGAACCGCATCCACTGTACAAACGGATCGACAAAGACTACAGGTGGGACAGCAAAAAGCAGTTATACATGGACCCCGTGACGGGGGGGACACTTACAGCTGAGGAAAGCGAGGACTACCAGAGGTACTTACAACGACATAAAGAACGCCGACATACCGGGGGACAAGCTGATGAGCTCATCAAGCTTGCAGCCAAGATCAACCCGCGTACTTTGGCGGAGTTGCGGTTCTATATTGCCAAGTTCCCGTGGGAGGTCTGCAGACTCCTCGCAGAAGGCAAGAAGTCGGCAAGAAGGTATACAAGACGATGGGGAAGCAGCGCGGGCCGCACAAGAGCCCAAAGCCTGTAAAGGACAAGAAGCACAAGAAGCACAAGAAAAAGACCAAGGAGGCGAAGACAGCAAAGGAAAAGGAAAACAAGAAGCAGACCAAGACCGGGAAGGACGACACCGCGGAGGGGAAAGCCACAGCCCAAGCCGACCTACCACAAGTGGAAAAGTCAGCGGGGGACCCAGACCAGGAAGTAGACTGGGGAGGCAGTGACAGCGACACTGCACAGCCTGCCACGACGAACTCCTCACAACACGTGGGGGGGAACCTTGCTGACGATGACTCTGTGGCCCTCCCAGATGCAATGCCGCTTGAGACCAGTTGGCCATGGGGGAAACGTGGCCGCCCGTCAGACCGTGCCAGCCCGAACTCAGGTGCAGCAACACATGAGGAACGCTCGCAGGAAATGAAGGACGACAGTGAGAGGCATGCGGAAAATTCGGGGGAGAGCGACCTGTGGGAAAGTTTTCGGTTGCATTCATGTTGTGCCGTTTGCTTGTGATACGTCCCAGTTAACAGTCGTTGATACCCAGTGACTTTGCCTGTCCATAGCCGGGGGAGCCGCCCAGTACTCGTTTTGCACGGTTTGTGTTCGCTTGTTGTTTCGACACGGGGGACCCCAGACATGCACCCTGTACCAGATCATACTTTCAGTGTAACAACTTCGAACCTCAAGGTGTAAACTCTTTAAACAGGACTGGGGGGAGGTCTTTGACCCCCTCGGCCCTTTCTCGGGTAAGCTCATTCCACTGGGCCCGCATTGGCCCGCAATCCCAGGTTCTTTTCAATACACCTGCCTGAGGCGAACAGTGAATTCGGGGGACATGAAGGCGCTAATTCGAACCCAAGCCAACAGTGTAAATCCGTCGGGGAACTCCAGCATGTTTTTCTTTCAACCCTTTGCGAGCCCGCCTGAAGTGGGGGGACGCTCCAGTTTACATTGCTTTCGGCCGGAGCCTTACTTGCTTGTTGCTTGTCTTCGGGAACTGTGACCCCCTGCCTAGGAAACTCTCTGGGGGGAATCTTTTCTTTCCTTTGTATAGCCGAGCCCCCTATGGAAACATACCGTAGGGGGGGCCAGGCGTACCCACGAACCGCAGGGGCGCGTTCGCGCGCGGGGTGTGGGGCTGGACCGCCCTGCAACTCTTACCTGGTATAGAGAGAGAGAGCTGTATTCCCGCATCCTTTAAAGACTTGAAGCCTCTGCCGCCGGTCAACTTTCCTAGAAAGGCTCAGCAGGACCCCTCATGCCCTGGGGAAGAAAAGAGATCTCTGTGTGGAAAAAGCGAGAGGGTGCCGGTACGGTGTACAGGGGTTCGCCCCTATAGGCCCCGCAATTGACAGAGATGGCAAAGCAATCCATGGACGAGGGATGACAGGAGTTGCAGTTTTGTCACAGTGCTGCCGCTGTTTGCAAATGCTTTCAGGTCATGAGGGCAGTGTCCGAGCCCTTTCCCACTTTCGCCAAGGCAGAAGGGTAGGCTGACCTCATGATTGTCATGTGAGCCATCCAGTAGCCCACAGGTCGAGAAGCTTCTGGAGGACACAAGCGGCTGGCCAGCTGTGGTCCTTGCGTGGGGCGGTCTCGAGGATTTGAGCGCACCTGGGCTACAGTTGGAGCTTCCGACGCCGATAACACTGGTTCTTGTAGCACCCTGCCTGACGTTCTAGACACGTGAGCCAAGGTAGCCGAGAGAAGTCCTGAGGCTCCGACTCGCGATGACGAGTTGCCATTTGAGCTGTCCTGAGAGTGTACTCTGCCGCAGGCCGTGCAGGCCGTGGGTGCATGTCGTGTGATCTTTACAGGGAAGGCTGGGCCTGCAGCCGGCGCATCGTGAGCTGTGCCCTTCGCAGTGTTTGTGCTTTGTGTGCAGGTGGAGACGGCAGTGCTGCCGTCTCTGAGTGTACCGACGACCTCCGTCATCATAGACGATGCCAGGGCCAGCAGCCTCTTGGCTCGTTTCCCTACTGTACTGTCTGCATGCTGCATCGTACATGGCAAGCAAAGGCACGGACATCGCGCGCATCCTTGGAGAGATAGAGGCAGCAACAACCTAGCGCTGGAAAGCTGCTGTCGCAATGATTAAGGCTATTCTACAATGTTCTACACATTTGCATGCTTTCAAGAACGCTCCTTTTGCCGCAACCATGCTTAGGCAGGAGTATGTCAAAAGCATGTCAACACGGCGGCATACGACGAATGCCTCGCCATCTCAATGCAGCAGGCCGGTGGAGTACAACGTCCGTTGTTGCTGGTCGTGGTGTGCCGTCCGCTAGCTCAGATGTCATCATGCAAATTGTTTTTCTCACACAGGACATGTGCACTCCCAGGTGCCTTCCTGAGCAGGAGGCTTCTGCAAAGCTTGCGGCAGCACCTGCCACAGGCATCCTTGCCCAAGCCTGCGAAGTCACCTGGAGTCATGCACTTTGCAGATTCCTGCAGTTCTCCAGGATGTCATGCTCTTCCCGTGCCCTCCTGCCACCTTGATGCGCGCCTGCATGGAGGAGGCAATCGTCGCGTCACCGCGAATATCACGGGGCTGGCGTTTCGTAGCAGGTGCCGGTCTTCGAGTCCCAGATCCTGGAGGAGGCCTCGAGGCTGCGGTCCGAGGCGGCTTCGGGGGGAGAGAGAGCGCTTCCGTCTTCGGTTCTCATCTTTTCTCCAGGGGCCCGGCCCTGTTTGCAGGGCGTGGTCCGACTTACCGAGAGGTGCCAGGCCGCGTTGGCCAGGCCGCGTCCCCGCTTTCACCGTACCTGCAGAAAGCCAACTGCCAACTTGGCTCAGCGCACGATCAGGTTGCAGGCGTCGCCCGAAGTTGCGGTTGGCAGTGCAGGGAAAAAGCACCGTGTCCGACCGGTCCTACTTTTCGGTGCCCTATGCAGCTCGAATCTGAACGGGGCCACATGGCGGAGAGTTTCGGAGACTCTGTGAGGTGGTGCTCACTCGCATTGACAGAGTGGAGGACCCGACTCGCATGCGAGGATGGTGAGACAGTCGCTGTTATTCCAGGAGAGCATCACCAAAGCCGGAGGTCAAGGAGCCTCCATGGCCGACCGAGAGATGAAACTTCGACAGGCGCCGGCATGGCCCAGTAAATGCTGACATTCGGATGAGATTCTGTTATCAGCGGTATTAGCCCAAACTTTTCCCGTGCCCCTAGCCCGAGAGTTTGAAATGCACAATCGGAAAGTCTAACATAGTCTTGGTTTTGCACGAGCATGTTCTCGCTTGCCTTTGTGACTGTCCCCTCTCTCTGGTCTTGCTCGGTGGTTCCTTGCCGAGCCAGCAGGAAATACACAGTCGGCGTTTCTTCATTTCTCTTCCTTGTGTCCGGTATCTGTTGATTGAGGGCTATATACAGTACCTAACATCAACCCAAGCTTCGCGCTCAAAGAGGAAAGCAGACGGGAACACGTTGGTGGATGCACAGGTTCTCGATAAAAAGATCGAGGATGTTTGCATGAAGCTCGACGTGCCACGAACTGCGGCCCGCCTCTTAGCAACAAGGTTTGAGCTGTGTCCTGCCTTGGGCGCATGCAAAGGCTGATAGGATGCAATCAAAGGTGCACTTCATTGAGAATTATCATAGCGGCGTAATTGGCCTGGAGCAGGAGGCCAGATCAAGGCATTCTGCAAGAATGAAGACATGCATCCCGCCAGGTGCGCAACATCTCTGTGGACTTCCATGCCCTCAAGATTCTTTCCCAGCCTGCGGCCTAATCTGGCGCAGGCTGCTTCGCAGCTATGCTCCGCGCAGAGATGATATCTCAGGTGTTGCAGCCATGCGGATGCTTTTATCGCGCAGGCTCTGCGCGACATCAGGCGGCGCCGGTAGGTAATGCACAGTGCTGTCGTCTGGACCATGCTCGCAGGGCCCCTGCATGTGCGATTCAATGAGCCGTCTTCCACACGCTCGCAGCCTTGTGTGCGGGAGCGTGTTGCCCTTTGGGCACACCCGTAGCATTTGGACTGCTGCACAAGCACCTGCTTCCAGGAAGACCTGGAAATGTACATAGGCGATGCCCGTGACGAAAACAGACTGCAAAGCTGCAAGTAGCTGCGCTGCAGATAAGACACAGGTAGAGACCACGAGAAGCAGTCTGCGAAAGAAGATGGCGCAGAAGACACGCTGCAGACAAGACACGGGTAGAGTGCACAACAAAAACAGATTGCGACGGAAGACGGCCAAAGAGACACAGTGTGCAAAGGTCAGATATGGGGCAGAAGGAACCCGAAACAGTCTGCAGACCACGCTGACACTGCAATCCAGGGGCACGGCTCTAATCAAGATGGGGGATAGCATCAGAACAAGGGTGTGCAATTAGGTAAGAGAGCAGCAGAAACAATTCTGCACAATGCAGTCTGCCAGAAAGATACCTCAGACAGAATATACAGGGCGCAAAGCCAGATGGTAGACAGTACCAGGAAAGAGTATGCGAAGAAGATAGCAGATAGCCAGGACGACGTGCTGCAAACAAGGTAACGCCACGCGAAACGACCCACGCGATAGCACGAGCGTTTTTGAAGGCACAATTGCAGTTTTACCGTGGTATAACGCTGATTTCTGGATTATCAGTTCTTGTTCTGGAGAGACATCCTCGCGCAACCTCGAAAGTTTTCGGGGCTTGCTTTCGTCATTGTTTTATCTCTGAAGCGAGTATTTTTGGTGGTTTTACCACAGCAAAATCATGATTTTGCGTTTGATGGCTTGATTGTCGGGCAACATCTTTAAAGCTTTCCGGAGAAAATGGCCTTTTCGGATCTCTGGGGAGGTGTGGGGTTTTGGGGCTTCGGTCTGGCCAAGCCTTTGTAGTCTTGAGGGGCGTTAAGGCAAAAATTGTAGTTTCACTGGGGAAAAACGATGTTTTCTGCTTTATCAGTTATTGTTTTGGGAGACAGCTGTGCGCGACCTCTACACGTGTCGACTCTTTCTTTCGTCATTGTGTCATGGTTGGAAGTCGTGTTTTTCGTGGTTTTTTCCAGGCGAAAGCAATGTCAGGGGATGTTGGGTTGAAGCTTTGAACTTGAAGGTTTTGGGGCTTGCACTGCTTCGGTAGGGCACGGGATGCTGGCTTTAAGCTTCTAGCTGCAGGGTTTTGGGTTTGCTTGCTGGGGATTCTTGTTTGGACTTGAACTATTTAGGCCTAGCCGCTATGAACAGTACCAGCAGACGACTATAGGATTCTAGGATACTAACATAATATTAAAAACTGGTTATGGTTGAGAGGGTTCAAGAGCCCCTGACTCCGCGGTTTCAGTTCTGTGCGGGCTGCCTTAATTCTGAAGCCAAGCAGGTTGATGTGTCTGTAACTGCGGACGGTCCAAAGACTCTAGGAAGCGTTTAGGGCGGAAGGCTTGAGGATTGGAAGGGTCCAGACTGAAGAACTGCAGGACTTTAGAACGAGTTGAGGTTGGCATGATTGCTCGTAGTGATGGACTTCGGGTGTTGATGATTCACGGTGTAGACGCGGTGTAGACGTTTAGGGTTTTAGGGCTTCGGAGTTTAGGGCTTAAGCTCTTCGGAGTTTAGGGTTCAGAGCTAAATCTAAGCCGTGAGCCCGAAACCCTGAGCCCCAGAAGGCCGAAGGCTACAAGGGAGTAGTGGGCAGCAGCAAAAGCAGCATAGCAAGGGTGGTTAGTGCAGTACAAC